AAAAAATATATGTATCTGAAATATTTATTTAAGAAAAGAAGAAATGGTAAAAAGAAACTCACAGTATAAAATATGTTGTAAAGTTCATGTAATTAACCACCAATCATCATTCTGGAGTTGAAATTAAATCCGACTGAAGAGAAGACTCTCAGGATAGTGGAGTACTGTGCTTGAAGGTTTATCATGAACAATAACATCACCACCCAGTTCTAATTTAGTAGTTCTGTGAAGATCTCTATTTCCTTTTTAAGGTTCCAAATACTATCTTAAAGAGTTTATAATGTCATTTGCCAGATTACTTTAGCAGGTACAAATCCTCAGGGGTCTAAATGTTTCACCGTATCTTACTGAAAATGCATTTTTTTTTTTTTGAGACAGGGTCTCACTGTATAGTTGAGACTGACCTGGAACTCACTGTGTAGCCCAGGCTGATATCGAACTCACAGCGATCCTCCTGCCTCAGCCTCCCTAGGGCTGGGATTACAGGTGTGCACTACCACGCAGGGTGAAAATGCATTTCTTGCACATATAGAAGAGTTATTATTCTATGGAGAGAGAGAAAGAGAGTAGGTCAGTGATTGCCAAGGGCTGAGGGGATTGAACAATGGGGAAAGGCTGCTAATGGCTTGGGAATTAGTTTGGAATGAGATAATGGTGATAGTTATACAGCATTGTGAATGTACTAAAAACCTCTGAATCATACAACTTCAGACAATTTTACTGTACATGAATTATAGCTCAATAAACAAGCAAGAATGAGTTTATTTGTATCTGTTGCAACAGAGACTGAATCGACTTGGCAGAGACAAAGGATGGTAGGGACTTTAAAGGTTGAGGTGAGTTAGGAAAATTCCTGGAGGAACTTGGTGGGAGGTCATCTACCATGAGTGTTTACTAATGTATTTCTCCCATCTTCATAGCAAGAAGTAGGTTTACAGCTTGGAGAAAGGTGTCCATCCAAGTTAGGCCCCTATTTCCTACGGAAACTGGGAGATACAGGCCTGTCTTCTTTGATGTTTGTATTCCGAAGGATAGCTTCTAAGTCTGAGAAAGATCGTCTCAGATTATATAACTGGGAAGAGAGTTTTTACTAGATTCTAATGTCAAAGGGGCACAGAAGGAACTCACAAGTCAGGTGTGATGGTGCATGCCTGCTACCGACCGTAGGGCAGCAAACA